CCCCACCCGGCCCGGACCCGGACCCGTCGTCCAGCTTCGGGCCTGCGGAGTCCAGGACCTCACCTTCCTCCTCCTCCTCTGCAGCCTCCTCTTCTAGAAGGTGGGGGCAGAGAAGAGGACGCGTTAGGACCCCAGGAGGCGTGGGGGGAGGGGGAGCGCGGGTGGCCAGAGACCAGGGTTCGAGTCTCAGCTGGACTGGGTGACCCCTCTGGGCTCGGCTGCAAACGGGCACCGGCCGCGCGGAGCCTGGACTGGGAAACGCTTCGAAACCCGGAGAGGGGGCGCGGGTCCCGGAGGGCGAACCCGCCCCTCCGCCAGGGGGCCGCACCTCCTCCCGCCTCCCACCCCCTCAGGCCAGCCGCCTCCCACTCACCTTCTGGCTGCTCCCTGAGGACCCGGTGTGGGGGGACAGAGGGGAGGAGGAGAGTTAGACATTTTGGGGGGCAGGAGAGTCTCTCCACTTCTCCAAGCCCCCAACCGCTCCCGCCAGCATCACTCACTCCTCATATTCCTGCTCTTCGGCGTCCGACATCCTGGTGTGACCTAAGGGCCAGAGAGAAGAGGCCGAGTGGGGTGAGGTTCCGAAGGAGGAGGGCGTCTGGGTGCGCGGTCCCCGGGTCTGAGGGAGGACGGGAATCTCGGCCAAGCCTGAGGACAGGCATGAGAGGTGTGGTCTGGGCACAGCCCCGGGCCGTAGACCCCGCCCCCCTCCCGCAGCTGTCCCCTTTTGTCCTATGACAGGTCCACGGAACCCGATCTGAGTGGGGATTAGGAGGAGGTATTTGAGAAGGGACAGTGGCCTGAAGACAATAGCTGCCCCACCCCCAGGGGCTATTTCGGGGGAATGCCACAGACGGTGAAAGAGAGGACATTTCCTAAGAAGGGATTTGAGGAGAGGGGGCTCCTGGGACAATTAGTCACACCCGTCCCCTCTCCCTCCCCAGCCCTCCCCTTTGGCTGGTCATCTTCCCACCTGTCTCCTCTTTTCACCTTCACCCATATCCATGGAGGGGGCGGGTGCATGGAGAGCAGCTTCTGTCCACAGACCTCATCCTGATCCCTACATACTTAGGCTCCCCCTTTTCACATCCCCCAGGCTCCAAGCTGCCCAGGTAAAGAGGCCCCCCAAATCCCAAGACCCCTAGATTCTGAGAACCCAGTTTATGATGGCCCTAGTTTCTGAGCCCCGCAAGTCCTCAACCTCCAGATTCTGAGACCCCACTTCTTTTTATTTAATCTTATTTCATTTCATTTATTTTCTTTTCTTTTGTTGTTTTATTTTATTTTATTTTGAGACAGGATCTCACTGTGTTGCCCAGTCTGGAGTGCAGTGGTGAGATCGTAACTCACTGCAGCCTCGAATTCCTGGGCTCAAGGGATCTTCCTGCCTCGAACCTCTTGAGTAGCTGGGACTACAGGCACATGCCACCATACCCAGCTAATTTTTTTAAAAACTTCGTAGAAACAAGGTCTCACTGCATTGCCCAGTCTGGTCTCGAACTCCTGGCCTCAAATGATCCTCCCACCTTGGCCTCCCAAAGTGCTGAGATTATGGGCATGAGCCACCATGCCCCAGTTCTTGATAATGCAGATATGGGCTTGGATATCCTAAGACCCGCAGGTCTTGAGACCTAAATTCTGAAATCTCAAGATTATGAGACCATCAAAATCTTGATACCCAAACTCAGAGGCCCAATTCATGATATCCCAAATTATGACACTACAGCTGCTCACACTTTTTATTATAAGACCTCAGAATGTGAGATCTCCATTCCCCAAACCCTGGATTCTAAGGCCCCTTCCCAGTCCTGATACCCTCAGAATCTGAGACCCCAAATCCTGATAGTCAGACTGTTTGACCTCCAAGCTCAGATATCGCTGATTTCTGAGATTTTCCCAGACTCTGAGACCTCTGAGATCCTAAGGATGTTATTAATATATTCTGGGTCATTCAAATCCTGGCACTCCCAGATTCTGTACCCTGCAAATCCTTATACTTTCCCCTCCATCCTGAGTCCCCCTAAAGTCCAAGCCTCTCAGATTCCCAGACTTCCATTTTTATGCCTCCTCTACGTCCACAGCTCCTCTCCACACCCCTCATCTTCCCCACCTCTCTCCTGGCCCCTCCCCCAAGAACACTGTGGAGACCACAGAGCCGGGCAGAGCCCCTTACCTAAGGCTGGGTCTGCAGAAGCGGTAAAGGCAGGCTGAGACTTCCCGAGGGGCTGAAGCAGCCCTGGGGTTTATAGCTCGACGCTCTGCCCCGCCCTGGGGGGAGAGGGAGGGGGAGAGAATTCCTTTCCTCGAACACGGGTCTGGGAACTTGGAGACTGCCCTGCTGCCTCTGGCTCCACACTCAGGGTCCCAGGGCCTCCTGGCTGCTCCAAGGCCCCCGCCCCACCCCAATCAGCGCTGCCTAGGAGCCCCAGTTTGAGTCAGGCACCCCGGGCTCCCCATGATGCTCCACACTGTTTCCCTCACTTATAGCACAAGGCACCCTGTGCTTTGACGCCCTGTGCCCAGCACCCAGTAGGCCCTTGGAGAATGCTCAGTGACAAAAGGGGCACAAGGGATACTTCCTGTTTCCATCTCTCTGTTCCCTCTTTCTGTCCCTTCACTTCTGGAATTCCGTTTCTGTTGTCTCTGTCTCCCTTTTGTCTCTGTGTCTCTCCATCTGTGTTTCTCTGTGTGTGTCTCTGTCTACCTCTTAGTCTCCCCCTCTGTCTCTGTCCATCTCTTCCCCTCCCCACCCCCACCCTTTTGTCTGCCACCAGGATTCCACCCTGGTGACAACAGGCACTAAAGCTGGGAAGCAGGTGTGTGGGAGGAGGGGAGAGGATGGGGTGTCAATTAGGCTGGCAAGACCTACCCTCCCAACCCCCCCACCTCCATCTGACACTGATCTTTTTTGGTGTCCCTCTCCCCCTTCCCAGCTAATCCACGACCTTGAACTCTAGGTTCAAACCAGCCCTGGAGAGCCGGCTTCCCCACGCCCATGCCTCTGGGTGTCTCTGTCTCTCATGGTCTCAGTCTTTGTGTTTCTGTTTCTTTGCATTTCTCAGGGTCCCATTTTGCGTCTCTGTCTCGGGCTCTCTCTGCATCTCTGTGTCCCTTTTTGGGTCCCTCAGGACGTTTCCCTCTGTGTGTCTCTCTGTGTGTTTGTGTCTCTGCAGTTCTGTGGGTAGCTCTGTGTATCTGCCTCTCTCAGTATCTGTGTCTGTTGGAGCTCACAGTCTCTCTGTGAATTTCTGTCTGCCTGTGGCCCCATTTGTGTCTCTCTTTTGGCTCTGGGTCTCTTGGTCCATGTTCATATCTCTGTCTTTCTAGCTCTTTCTGAATGTCTCTTTTAGTGTTGACACTTCTCCCTCTTTGGCTCTCTATTTCTCTCTCTCTCTTTTTTTTTTTTTTTTTTGTGAGACAGGGTCTTATTCTATCTCCTCCATAGCTCACTGCAGCCTCAAACTCCTGGGCTCAAGTGATCCTCCTGCCTTAGCCTCCCAAGTAGCTGAGACTACAGGTGCACATCACCACACCCGGATAATTTTTCCATATTTTGTACAGACAGGGTCTTGTTCTTGCTCAGGCTGGTCTTGATTGAACTCCTGGCCTCCAGCAATCCTCCCACCTCAGCCTCCCAAAGTGCTAGGATCACAGGCATGAGCCCCACACCCAGCCTATTCCTGCCTCTTATAGGGTCTCCATGGTCTCTGTGCTTCGCTATGAGTATATCGGTGTCTTTTTTTCCTTCCGTTCTTTGCACTTCCTTCTATGTATCCGTGTTTTCCCTCTCTCCTTTGGGTCTCCGTCTGGCTCTTTCTCTCTGTGTTTCTGACTCAATCTCTCTGTTGCCAGTATATCTCTCTGTCTGTGTCTGTCTCTGTGTGTCTCTCTCTTTGGGTTTTCATCTTGGCGTCTCTGTGCACCCCACATGGAGCAGAGGAGCCGAGCATGCCCTACATTGCAGATCCATCGTGTCCCTGACCTGCTGTGCGGCTTTGGAGGAGCCCTGTCCTCAGTTTTCCCATCTCTCTCATGCCTAAGCCTCAGGGTAATGGACACACAGCCACTTCCAGTTCAGAGAGAAACTTTATTCCTCAGGGCCAGGGCAGCAGGGAGGCAGGCTCAGCCCTCAAACTTCTTCTTGCGGCCCTCCATTCCACTCAGTGCATCGATGTTCTTGCGCCAGTCTCCCACCTCCCGGTTTTCCTGGGGGATGGGGTCAGAGGTTAGGGGCTCTTCCTGGTTTTCATTCCCTCAAGTATCCTCCACCTTCCCTCCAGCCTGCTGGGCAATTCTACTCTGAATGCCTGTCCAAGTGTCTGGTTCTGGTGCACTTCTTATCCCCTTAGACAATCCCTGCCGATTTTCCCATGCACTTCCTGTCTCCCGCATGCACTTCCTGTCTCCCCCTTCCACTTCCTGTCTTCCTCATGCACTAAATTCCTGTCTCCCCCTTCCACTTCCTGTCTCCCTCATGCACTTCCTGTCTCGCCCTTCCACTTCCTGTCTCCCTCATGCACTTCCAGTCTCCCCCTTTCCACTTCCAGCCTCCCTCATGGACTTCTCGTCTACTTCCTTCATTCCTTCTTTTCCTATTACAGTATCCCCACACCCCACAGCCCCACTTATCTACGGTTTCTCTTTCTGCAATTTCAGTTGCCTGATCAACCATGGTCCAAAAATATTAAATGGAAAATTCCAGAAATAAACTATTTAAAAGCTGGACATATCATCAGAAGGTCAATAGTAGCCTAATGCTACATCACAATGCCTGTGTCATTCACCTCGCTTCATCTCATCGCGTCACACAAGGAAAAGAAGGATGAATACAGTACAATAAGATATTTTGGGCCGGGCGTGGTGGCTC